TTGGGCCCGTTATACAGCCCAATGCGTAGGACATATAAACTCTGTTGTTTTGGTGATTAGGGTTAATCGTGGATTGTACAGCCGCTCTCTGTATTCAACTCTCTCAATAGTGAAATCCCTGCAGCTTCGTGGACGTAGGCAAATTGCCGAACCACGTAAAATCTGTGTCTTGTTTTTTCTTGTTTTTTATTGCTTTATATTCTTGATTTGTTCTTCGATTGTGTGTATTTGTTAGTGAATTTAAATCGTATGAAATCCCAACAGATAATGCATGTCGTTGTTATCAAATGAGGTAGGTACTGTTTGATAACACTTTTTAACTACTTTTTTGAGTTTTCTAAATAACGTTTTACTTTGCATTTTTTGTTTTTTCACCTTTTCCCTATGTGGATTTGTTGTCTTCCTACAAGCTTAATCGTACTTATAATCGTGCTCATCTATGTACAAAAGTATTTAGCAAATGGTAGATGAATAAATGATAACAGAAGTGCAACCAAGAAACTCAGTAGAGGAAATACTGGTTCAGCCACAATAAAGAACAGCAAGTGCACTTAAACATCTTGTTCCCACTGTCCCCCAACAGCATCCATTTTAGATAGTAAATATAGTTCACAACATAGTCGAAACATGAATAATCAACTTAGATATCACTGATTAAAATAAATCTATACACTTCATAATGCTGCAACTTTCTCCACAAAACTTCAGTCCCACCATGCACTCAAATGCAATAATAAGTTGAACTTGTCAAAAAGGAAACCCTATTTACATAGCTTTTAAAAAAAAAAAAAAATTGCATGATCTCAACATGAATGGATTACTACGGTCAAAACCTAAACCTACTTGTCCTAAATTTGAATACTTTGTGGTGAATAAAACTTAGGTTCAATCGATGCTCGTGTCTTGCAAGTGAGTGCATCAATACAAGATTTGTGATACAACTATGAGTCTAAAAGGTGAGTGGTTGAGACGATTCTTGTTGTAAATATTGTTGCTTAGCATGAGGAAACAAGAGGAGTTTCTTCCATTAAGAATACATAAAGCATTCTGGAATTGAATCGGATTACCAATACCAATATCTTTTTAAAAAATATATATATATATAATGGGAAAAAAGAGGAAAGCAGCCAATGGTGTATCAAAACCATGGGTCTGACCAAGCACACTATCCCAACTAACCTCTCTTACGTTTGAGTTGTGTCTCTCTGTGACAGCATTAGCATATATATGCAAGAGAATGAATGAAAGCAGCAAGTCATTGTAATTGCAGTACAGAGACATCACCTACAAGTCCTTTTCCTTTCCAAGTCACAAAATTAATTTTAGTGCAACATGTATAAATAATTAAATCATTTACCACCCACCTTGCAAGGTAGAGATATTAGTTCAATTATCAACGGGTCTTTAGTCCAATAGTACTATTTATCTTGTAAAAATTTTGCCTTCTTGAGATCAAGGGNTTAAATCATTTACCACCCACCTTGCAAGGTAGAGATATTAGTTCAATTATCAACGGGCTTTTAGTCCAATAGTACTATTTATCTTGTAAAAATTTTGTCTTCTTGAGGTCAAGGATTCATATATTTTATTTTGTCATAAAGTCAGTTACATTTGTGACACAAATCTTATCTTGTCTCATGTGTCATACCTCAACTGTCACCGGAAAAACAATTATTTCTCTATAGAAAACAAGAACTATAGTTTACTAAAAAAAATTTTAGTTTCTAATATTTTCCATCATTATCATGCAAAACAAATACCAAAACATCTGAATTTTTTTTTCCGGCACTTTTCGAAAATCTCTCGCTAACCAAATGAAAAAAAAAAAAGAAAAGTCAAAAGGAATGATCTATTTTCCTTGTGACCCACCCAACATGTTTTGGGTAGTAAGTAACATGGTTTTGGCCCAGCCCATGGCCACCCCCTACACCACTGAAAAAATATGATTTCAAACACAATTCTGACAAATGACAAGTGATTTTATTGACATGGGTTACAGGTGAGAGATCCCTAGCCATACGAAACAAAAACGATGGAAATTCTAATCCCAAAAACCAACGGATATAATATGACTTACCAATGAGTTGAGAATCATGTGAGCACTTAACCAACTGTGTTACAACAACTTTGATAGATACAACCAAGTAGTAACTCATTAGATTAGTTTCTGTCCATATCCTTCCACCATATATAGTTACACAGAAAGTATCAGAAAATGAAATCTGGATAGATGATTGATAGAAACATTAATTTTCAAAAGGAGAAAGTTAGCTATAACCAGGTACACTTAAAGACCCTTTCCCAATCCCCTCAGAATCAATACCAACCAAAGCTATATATGAAAAATCCTCCACTCAGTGGGCGCACAAACTGCCCCCAGAGAGCGAGTCACCCTTGATCCTTTGCAATGGCAACGTAGTTGACTGGTATTACATTACCAGCCTTACCACTGTCTCTCCGTTCTTTTCCACCTGAGATTCCATGACGGGCCGAAGGAGTCCCTGAACGACGACTATTTGGTGTCCCAACCATTGTGTTAGCATTAATGCTTGTGCCTAATGGCTTTTTGATAGTAGGCTTCGAACCAAATAGTGCCTCTTGTTCTGTAACAAATTGTTCTTGCAGTCGTTTTTGTTCCTGAAACATATAAAATGGTCATTACTATACAAAGCACACAGTCAGAACAATTGCAAGGACCAAATCTGCCACAAATGGAACATCACATTATAAGTCCAAGCACCAAACCTTGATAAATATATTTACATGCATTTCCCATGAACCACAAAATGATTAATAGCCACGCCTCACCTACATGGACCCACGGGTAATATATTGCTATGCAGATAATATATCTATGATGTGAACAATTGACACCCCTTGAGCATTCAGTTGTGTCACTTTATTCAAGGGATCAAGCCCTTTAAATATTTATGTTCTTTCCTTTTCAATCATTTGGTAGCTGAGCGAAAAGTAAGAAAGGCAAAATTCTGTGGCAGATAATCAAAGGATTAAAGATTGTCTTAAAAATGACATGTTTAGGCGACAACATACTGATCTGGACAATCATGACAGTCTACCAGCAAAAAACCTGGTATTAAATATCCCATGAACTCGTAAACAAAAGGAACATAGCTGAACACAAGAAAACAAAGATCTAGAAGCATACCCGAGATCTGCGTTTCTCCTCTTCTTTCTCCTGCCGAAACACAGTATATTCCTCCAATGTACGTAATAAAGGGGCCTGAAAAAGTAAGAGATAATATTTGATTTGAAGCTACAAAAAACACAAATGAACATTGCACAATCAAGAAAAGTTGCAGTCACCTTGTCATATAAGAATGGTATTCCTTTCTCTATCTCCCACGCTTTTACTTTTACAGTTAAATTTTCAACGAGAGCTGCACAATAAAAGCTAGGCACGTGTAAGCTATTTAAAGAAATTTACTTGCACAAAATAAAATACAAGTTATGGACCCAAAGTCCCAACCACAAGAGGCCCAGTTTTAAGTCATCCAACTAAATATAATTGACAAAAATAAGATTGCAGATCTGATAAACCCATTCACCAAGACTCTGTTTAATGGAATACAGATCAAATAAACCATCAACAAAAATATGATTGCAGATCAAATAAGCCCACAACAAAGGCTACATTTTATGCGTAGCATAATCCATCCACAACGACCAGGGGCGGCCCAACCCAATTAGGAGCTCTAGGCAAAAATGTTATGTGGGGCCCTAGTAATATTTATTCAATAATAATATTAGTATTAAATAGTTATCATAATATTAAAATATGTTTATTTAAAAATTATTTGTTGTCTTTTTTTTTTTTTGAGATAACTAATTAAAATTTAAATTTTGCAAATAAAAATTGTGTTAACCATAGTCAAATTCGGAGATCAAATGCAAATGATACATACTCCTTGTTTAAGATAAAAAAAAACATAATTGAAAATTCGTTTAACTAGTAAGACAACTATGATTGATTAGTTTCAAATAGTGTATTACTTCTACTCATTTTATTTTATAGTTATTCTATTCATTACAAATTGATCAAAAAATAGCCTTAAATTTAAGTTATAGAAATATAAAATCATTATTCATACCTATTATATGATAGACAATTAATTTTAATAATAAGACTATAAAGTGATAATACATATAATATAAACATCGGGTGAGATAAGAAAATTAGGTTGAACTCTAAGGCTCTAATTTTTTTTGAAATAGGTTCTAAAAATTTTACGATAATACTAGTTGTACTTGATTTGAAGTCTACATACATTGAATAAATAATGTATTTTATTTAAAGTTAGCACTCCTTGTTAATTCAATTGTTAAAATGTATTAAGTATTTAAATTATATCCCAACATCTAGATTATATACCATTGTATAAAATTTTATTTTGGGACCCCAAATTTTTCTTCAATGGCTTTAGTGGCCTATAGGTTGGGCCGGCCCTGACAACGACAACATTTGTGAAAGCATCTTCCTCAATCAATATATGCTGCCAAAGTGTTGGTTATGTATGCGATTCTAGGCAAGATACTTTAATCCACTGAATACCTTTCGTTCATCTAGTCATACCTCTAATTGCTATAATAAATTTTAAGTTAAAACGAAACTCTACCTATTTTGCATATATGTCAACTTGTCAAGAAGTAAGTCGAGCAAACTCGTGGAGATGTAGTTTGGATTATCCTAGAATAAGAGAAGCTGTCTCTATTATATGGGCCGGGGCCTAACATATCAGTTCTCAAATTGCTTAGCCTAAGTTTTCTACCACCATACACCTTGGCACAAATGTAGTAACTGAAAAACACGTCATGTTCTAAAAGAACATCAGATCCATAATAGTGAAAAGTTCAAGCATACATTTGTTATTACATTGAGAAATGCTGATTGATTAGTATGCATGATAGACTACAAACAGTCAAAAAGGGACAGCTTGACCTTCAAGAATGGAGAAATGATATTATACGGGGTGAAGAATAAAGCTCTGCAAAACTAGTAACACCTTTGATGGAAAAAGCTCTCTTATCTCCGAGGTAAGGATGGCCTCATAAGCTCGTTTGCCCAAGTTGGATGCTCGATCTATACTGATATGGTATGGATGACACAATCAAATTGTAGAGAACTCTAACTGATTAGCATTAGGCACCCATTCATGGCAAGAAAATAATTATTCTCTATTATAATTATTATCACTGTTGGAGGCGATAAGGTTATGTATGCAGCTACTGTGTTAAGAGGATCATTGTATTTGCTGTTCCTTTAGACACATGCATAGCCAAGAGAATTTTCCACAACAATATTTATTCTCAGAAAAAGTATGCATTTGAAATGAAATATATGTCACCTCTTAAACTTTGGGCTTAGGATCATGTTTGCAGAAAAGAAAAGCTCCAGCAAATCAATAATTTGCAAGCAAACTACCAGATTTTTTCACAATCTCAGGAAAAAAATACATCCAACTCTAACAAGTAAAAATGATTCATGTGGCCAGGTACAGATCTGAAGGCTACAATCTATAGGTGAACCCAATGGTTTTGAGTGAAAGGCAGAAACTCATTGTAAAGTCAGTAAATTTAACAAAGAATGATTAGAAACTAAGTTTCCGGCAGAGAGGCAACTCAAATATCATGAGCGTTGAGGCGAAAAGTCCCCAAAGTAAAAAACAAACACAAGGAAGACACCAGAACCTGAATTTCATTCCATCAAGTAATTAAACAAATTAGTATGATCCTGACACAAAAAAGGAATGACAAAAAACTGACAAACAAATTTTGGTTACAATGAAGTGTAGAAATCTAACCAACTAATGCTGACAAATAAATCTAGCAAACTCAATTACACCTATGGCTGATGTGCAATAACTACACATAGGCACTTATATTATTATGAATTCCAAGAAAGTAGCATACAACTAATAAACAATATCATTCAGAAATATGAATGACATGCTTACATGGTATTTTGCTGACCAAAATCCTTGCTTTCTCTGCACGCTTCAGATTTTTATGTGCTCCTCTTCCAGCACTATACCGATTGTCATCCTTGTAAAATGAGTGAGTTATTAGTCAGTGACAGTAAGAAATCCCAGCAATGATAGGTCTTAGAAAACCACCCTTCAAACGTCTTCTAATAATAAAATAGTAAGTTACATGATATCAGATGTCCACCAGATATAGCTAAACCCCGTCTTTTAACGAAGATAGGCCACAGGGACTATAATCAATTAGCTCAAATGGTACCGAAGGAAAATAAACCAAATTGGTGATATCTTAAACAGCTCAACTCCTCGGCCAAAATTGTTATTTGTGAAAGGACCTCTGAAGAATCCCACAATGACATCTTACTTATGGAAGCTTTCACAGCTTGATGAGAGAAAATGGGATGAAAATCTATATTAAAAACAAGGTCCCCATAGCTTATGGAGTGAAAAACAGACCAGGCAACTAGGCCCACTACTTAAAAAACAATTTATCTCATTTATGAAACGTTACCCTTTCATACTCGTCAAGCCAGTTTTCCTCCTCAGATGCATGTTTCCATTTCTCCACCTTATCCAAAATATCCTTTCGGCTTAGAGCTTGTTCTTTGGCTTTTGCAATTTGATCATCCATGCTTAAAAGAAGATTAGAAAGATCAACGCTACCTGTAAAGGAATTTTAAACGGAATATTAGTAATCATATTTGCACCATTGCTAGACATTAACAATTCCACATGTTAAACAACCATATCCTTTCACAATTTAGATTAAGAAAGAGAATATATGTTGAGAAGAATAAGACCCATCCACGTTCAACATAATAGAAGCAGCGTGAAAAAGAATTGCATGAAGCCACACTTTTGAATGCTACTAGGAAAGAAGAATCTAAAATAAAAAGGTACTGGGACAAAGAATATGTGGATGGTATAAAGAGAGTTTGTATCTCACATCAAATAATTAGGACCACACAAGTTTGATTTATATATTTGAGGCGCTACTCCACTAATTGTTAATTAGCTTCAGATTGGATGCTCTAACATGATATCAGCATTGGGCCTTGGGTGGCCAATGGGCCAAGTCTTTTATCCATTTGAATTTTTCAATTTGCAATAGTTGTTTATCTATTTGTTAATCCCACGTGCAAACTTGGGTCCCATGTGGGGAGTGTAAGAGAGCTTGTATCCCACATTGAACAATTAGAACCACCCAAGTTGATTTATAACTAGGAGCCAGATTAAGTACGATAGAGACAGATGACCATTGATGCAGAAAACTGCCTTATTTTAAGCAGTCCACTTGAACTCAATAATGGTATCACTGACCCATAGCTACTAACATACATATCCCTCTTTCATCCTTTCATTTCACAGCCAACAACAAAAACTGAAAATTTCACACCAAATCTAACTTGTACCAGGATGCCAAGGCATAAGATGCACCGAGCCAGAGGTCTACTGGTGCCTAGGCAGGGGTGCCAGGAATATTTTAACACTAATAAAATTTTTTCAAGGATCCAAGCAAATACACAATTAAATAGATTAAGGAATTAAGCAGTCATAGTCTATACTCCCTGCAGTCAATAACACGATTAAACAGATTTAAAACCTCATTGCAAGTATGTGATGGAAAAAACTCTGCCTTCAACTTTAAAATATCATTTGGAAAATAACATCAAAAGAAAAATGATAATTAGCATAAAATAGATATTCAACGAGGGACAAAAAACAGAAAAATAGAATAGAAAAAAAAAAGAGCAAAAGAAAGAGATATTTCATGGAGAGAAAGAAGAATAAAGATTAAAAAAGAATCCCAAAAAGGCAGAAGTCGATAGTAAGTTCCTCATGTAGATATTTGTACTATGGATTAAATTTGGTGTATATGCACATCAAATATTTCATCCAAGTCAAAAGATCTAAAGGCCCAAAAGATCACTCCAAGAAAAAAAGATCGACGCCTCATGCATCTAGGGCTTAGGCCCGAGGTGCATGCTTCGTGTGTCTTGACTATGCTTCAGCAAAGAAGTCTCTACTCAAGTCCCCTGATCCGAAACAGGTGCACCCTACCAGCCCATGACCTAAGCACACCTTCCACAACATTGTTGTGACTTTTTTCCACAATTCACTAAACCTTTAACGAACCACGATCTGAGTACATCGATCCCAAACGAGGTGGGTTTGCGATCCAGATCACCAAAAATGGACGACTCCGAATTATAATACTAACTCTAAATCAATTCGTTTTAGAACATGTAGCACAAGTATAAAATACATATTAATTGACTAAATGTTTATAGATTTATAATTATATATTGTTTTAGATAATAGAAAATCAAGCACAACTATCAGATAAATAATAACTAATAGTATTTATGAATGTTCTATAATATATAATGTTGTATAGTAATGAAAACGATCTACATAAGAATTCCAAAACGAATTGCGACCTAAAATACCGTACCAGCTAAACTTACCCTTATTGTATTGCGTACCTAAAAAAGTGTCGTACCATGTACCCATACCAAAGCGACCCACGATCCAAGTAACATTAGTCATGATTATCTTCTTATCGTGTGCTTAAGATGTTCTCCTGAGATCACAGTTCAGCCGCCTGTGTCAACAGTATTTTTTCATAAATTTTTTGTATGTTCCAGAAATTTCTCATTTCATTAACTATCCATGTGGCATGTAGCCATCCACCAATTTTATGTGCTGGAAAAAAAAACACTAGAGAGAGGCCCATAGCAAATAAATCACGAAACATGCTAGTTAAGAGCTATGAAACAGGTTAGTTTTTTTTTTTTTTACTTTAAAGATATGAATATAGATATATAAGAACATGACAAAATAACAGGATACCCAACTAACACTATCTAAGGGGCAAAGAGTTTGCATGTGCATTCAATAGTTACATGCACATGAACATGCATCTTAAGGTGCATTAAGCACATATTAACATGTAACGGTGAAAAAGAAAACATGCAAATGAATTAGTTAAACTTAACACAAAGCACAAGTTGAACAAACCAGAATCCATAAGGCCAATAAGAATCTTCCTCGCTGTGTCACTATCAACATCCATATGAACCCCTCTATACATTTCTTCAAGCTCATTTTGCCTTTTAAATATCAGCTCCTTCATCTTGCTGGCTTTCAAAACATTTAAACGTTCAACTTCAACTTCAGTCTAGTAGAAAAGAAAGGGGTAATGATAAGGAACTGAACACCTAAATTGTAAACAACAGCATTAACCTATGAGAATTTCCACCCAAAATGAAAAGGAAAAATACGTATCATCTATTCACCATAACACCTGCTCAATGGCATCCATAGCAAGGGATCCTTGCCTTGACACCTTATCAACAGAGGAGGAGATTAAGCATGTGACATGGTCAAATCTTTTCCGCTCCCCATGAGGTGTGTCCATTAGGTTCCAAAGCTCTACAAGAGTGCTCCCAAGATCTCGAATCTATATAAAACAAAGATTTGAAGTAAGGAGGAAAATAACTAGCTGCTGCATAAATATCAATTAATCCAGCACCTTATCACCCAAAGTTATCAAGCATAGAACCAATGGTGCCAAAGTTTAAACCATAAGAAATAAGGAGAAATGAAGGGAAAGTTAATGCCGAAAAATAGAAGAACACCCAATTAATTAGCTGATCTAAACAACCTATAAACCCAAGGACCCTTCTGTTGAGGCTTTGACATGCATTAGAGATTGGTTGTTTGTAGAAATATATATATATATATATATATATATATATATATATATGTTATGTGATTGTTTGGTGATTTGTGTCAATTTATGGTGTCTTATGTATATGCATACTTTTTTGTCATTTGGAAAATGCACCAATGAAATTAGATGAGTTTATGGGATGCATCATGAATATCAATGCCGATCAAGATGAGCTCAAAAATACAAAATTGAATTAAGTAGCTTGGTTTTTCCGCATTGTATTTTTCAGTTTTTTCTTTTCCAAGTTATAGTTGTCCCTTTGTTTTCTAAGAATTGTCTTGATGTTCAAAAACCAATTTGAGTGGAACCAAAGGTGACCTACCATATTTTAAATTGCAATACGCAGCTATCAATGTTTTCAATGGTGTATGTAGATGTCAGTTAGAAATGTGAGTTGCAATGTATAGTTTTCTGCTACGTGTTCATGTGACAAATCCTCTTTGATTTGTCAATACGATATGTTGCATTCCTCTGATTGGAAACAAAATAACAAGCAATGAATATAAGTTGTATTCATAGCATAGAAAAGGTGAACATAGTGTATCCTATTCAAAGCACATGCATGAATCTACTAACAAGATGGACAATACTTAATGATTTAAAACTACATAAAAGTATGAGTGAGATACAGTAACTTTCACCAATGCCTCTGGTATCTTCTAACATCACTTTAGCAATCTCCAATAGTACAGGTGATTTATGGCCCAAAAGCATCACAAATCCAAGCACCTACATTCGAGATCCAGTAGTCTTTGATCACTATTACATTTTCGTCTCTTCAACATCATTAAGTTGTCATCCACACTACATAACACATTTTTATCTTCCTCCCAAGATATCTTCAAGAACAAAATGTTATCAACTTGTTTAATTAGTTACGGCTCTTTATGAAGGTATGCATTAATCAGAAAATATTCAATGATCATCCTTTTTTGGTGTTTTTTCTTTTTTGGTATTTAAGAATTAATAAAAACATTGATAGAAGTGATCAATGAACATAAAGTTGATTTCTCCCAGAGCATAAGCTACTCACACCTCATAGATGTGACCTCCTAAAAGGAGGACTGGAACTAATGGGAAAAGGTCATAGATAACAGACCCACAAACCAATAAGCAGGTTCGTATCCAATATTCAGTGACTAAGCTTGCCTTTAACAACAGTAAATGCAAAACCAATAGCATTATAGGAATCTACTATGTGTTCTTCCAAGCTAATCCAATGCTGACCAGATGTTGTTCAACATAACTAAGACTGAAAAGTAATGCAATGAAATAGATTTGAGATAGAGAGAACAAGTGATATGTCACCTTTTGCAGCCTTTGTTGTTTCTCTTGCTTCAGTGAATGGACCTCACTAGTTAATCTAGCAACAATCTCATTGCTGATGCTCTTTGGTTGACCATTTGACGTATTGACCAAGCTTGGATGAATTTCAGATATTATCTTGTTGAAATCAAGTGACATAACAACAGAAAGCTCATGTATCGCACTAATATAACTATCAACTTTTTGCAAACGAAGAGTCTGCAGGCAAGACCAAAAGAAGATAGAAAGTAAGCATAAAAGAAACGGGATTCAGTTATTGGGATATGATAACTGAAATTCCAAACAAATTTGTCAAGGGAACCTTCTCAGATTGAAGTTCCTGAAGGTGTGACTTTAGCTCTCCCAATTTCCTAGTCGTCAAATCTTGCACATTCACTTGTGGCTCAGCAGAACCGATGAGCTGATCGTTTCCTGCAATCTCTGCACAAATACGAACAATCTGCTGCTGTGTTTCTGAGAACTCCTTTATCCTTTCTTGTTTCTTCAACCTTAAATCCTCCAACACAGGGCTTATGGCAGATATTTGCTGCTTAAGAATGCCCTTGACCTTCTCATACTACAGAAAAAGGAAAGATATCAACGGATAATATCAAGAATATACTGAAAATATTCATAGAGTAACGATGAACTTACCTGTGGAAAGGAAACTCGTTCCCCAAGGGAAGAAGTGAGGCAAGCAATTTCAGCTTCAGCGTCAGCCAAGAACTGGTGCAAATCAGCTTTGTACTTTCTGGTCATTTCTACCTTCCTACGATAAATGTCAAGACATTCCTGCTCAAGCTCTAGAAGCATCTTGTCCCTTTCACTATCACTCTCCCCAACTTCATCCCATATTTCCTATTTGACAGCATTCTTTTGTAAGTACTTGCTTGACAATAAAGGTTCAAATTGTACATTAGTTCGTACATAAACACACATATCCAATATCCCAAAAGACTATGAATATTCAACAATTGGAACTTGTGAAGAAAGTGAGGCTGGCTGAGGATGGTGAATATGGAAAACGAGAGAAAGATACTATTTGGTCGCAGGGAAGGGGAAAAAGCAAATCAGTAAGAAATTTATTATACACAAGATCAACATCTGAGACCCAAGAAAACAAAGAAAAACTTCAATCAGCAAGCCTCTATCTAGTTTTAAAAATTGTTTTCCATTCATCCGTGGGACATATCCTAATATAATGATAACCACCCATAAGAACAATCTTAACAAGGTTTTTGCACCTCTCAACGCATCAAGGATATCATCAAACCCATGTATTAAGAACTTGTACCCAATTTCTATTTCTATTGTACCCGCGTATTAAGAACTTGTACCCGATTTCTATTTCTATGGTACGACTATCAACAAACATTCTCCAACTGCCGTCCTATTTTACTATAACATGCATCGAAAACTGCAATTGGACTCATACTTCCCCTTATATATACATTTCTAAGCAATCTAAAGCATGCCTGCACAATTACTCGTGTTCTAGTGGCTTATGCGATAATGCGGCAATGGATGTAGAATCACTATAACGATAAGATATATGCAAAGCTAGACATCTGTCAACGGTAGGAAGTTCCTCGCGAGTAAAGTCCTTAAATTCATCAAGCAAGTGCTTAACTTCCATAGGAACCTCCAACTACCCTTTGCCCTCTTTACCCATGATAGAGGCATCCAACTCAAAAATGTGAGTGTGTGTGAGAGTGAGAGTGAGAGAGAGAGGGACAGAATACATATAGACCTGTAATTCTCGGAGGAGAGAGCCACAGGTGGTTGTGGCCGTGCGAGAGAGAGACAGCGGCGAAGAAGCAGTAGTAGTGGCCGTGGACACAGGCATGGCGATCCCGATGAAGAGATCACTCAGAATAGAACGAAGCACGAAACCCTAGAAATCGGAGAGAGAATTACGAGAAAGAGAGAGAGAGAGATACGCGTTTCGCAATGGAGCTCGGATTTTGAGGTTTGTTTGGCGCGAAAAGTGCATTCATTTTATTTTGACTATATTCTGGTTTTTCGGTCTCGGGCTGCCAATGCCACCCCCAACTTTGTAGTGATACATTATTACCCATGGACTTTTTGCCGACTTTCGTCCCTGCTTGACGGGTGGGTCGGGTGTGGTTCAGTGGTAGAATCAGTGTTTTAAAATCCGGCCCGGCGAGTTGATCCGGTGAACCGGTCCTATAATCGGGCCGGTTTTGTAATTGGACCGTTTGAGCAAAGAACCCGGAATAAAACCGGTGAACCGGTCAATACCGGACCGGGTTTACAAAACCGGCCGGTTTTGTTCCTTTAGTATAAATATGTTTTTTTTTTACATTTTTGTGTCTTTTTCTTTTCCCCTTCTGTTTTGCCCTAAATCCTAAATCATTCGTTCAGTGTTTGTTAGCTCAAAAATTAAGTGAATACAATTAAGTAATTCAAGTTTGAGGGTGGAGGTTGGGCTGTTAATTGAATGAAATTAAGTGATTCAGGCTTGATAACTTTGTTTGATTTAATATATATTAAACATGTTATTTTTATAACTATTTTAATTTTTTAGTCTATTTATCATCATTAATAATTATTTTTTATTTTTTTATTATATCACTGGTTCGACCAGTGACCTAGTGGTTGAACCAGAAATCCATTGACCCGGTCCCTTCTCCTGGTTAGTGTCCGGGCCGGGTTTTAAAACTATGGGTAGAACAATCATTAATTAATTAAACGAATTAATTCTACTCGAATTCAATTTAAAATTTAAATTTTACTTATGGTGCAAGCACTACATTATTTTGATCCCTACTACTCGTGTCTTATTTTTTCCGTGAGTCTAGCATTATATCATTTTAGAGTAAATATAACTTTTATATAGAAAAGACATATTGTCAATTATAAATTAGGGTTTGACTCCGTTCCAATTGATAACGTCTCAACTAAAGCTTAAAACCTTAATATTCAGTTGATAGTCGACCATGATCGTTGCACATTAACGGTGTTATTATGTTCTCTTAGTCGATGCATTTTACTTACCTAAACAATGCATGGATTGACCCACTAAATTGACAGACTCATTGAGTCACTAACAAATGCTACATTATTTTACCCCTTCCTCCCCCCCCCCCCACCAC